CGCTTCTACTGCCTTCCGATTGTCGCTTAATTTTCGAGAAGGTGAAGGATCGGCTAGGACCTTTCACTGAAAGAAAAATCAGAAGAAAAAATGCCAAGAAAGAAACAAAGGAGACGCACTATCCACGACGACATCCTCTCTGGTTCACGGGGCAAAATCGAAAAGTACGGAAAAACTCACTTATAAGCACTGGGGGTTGAATAAGCTCGGGCCTCGGGGGTCTAGGGTAGGGCTACCGTATTTTCCGGAGTATAGTGCGCACTTTAGATGTGCTATTTTAGGCCCTAAATCGCAGGTGCGCACTATGCTCCGAATATGAAATGCATGTACTTCAATGCAGACTGAAGTGCGCACCCCCAATGAAGATTGGGGGTGCGCGTTATACAAAGGTGCGCACTATACTCCGAAAAATACGGTAGTTCAGCTCGGGGCGAGCTGAATAAGCCTGCCTCACCTTGTAAGCGCGTGTTCTAAAATGACTGGGTGACAGATCAAAGGCGGGCTTATCGTACGCCTAGGGTTGAATAAGCCCGGGCTTATTTGGCTCATGTAAACGGCTCCTTAGACAGATTGCATATCGGAGCTTCGAGCTTCGATATAACAGTGTATACCAACCCGAAACCGGGTTTTCCTTTGCTTACGATAGCATTTTCAAATGCAGTTTTACTAAAAATTCCAAAAATTAAATTTGGTAAAAGACTGTTATAATTATCTCCGCTCTCCGCTCCTCATACAATCCCCACTTCACATCACAATGCATCATTGCTTGTGAAATGGGCAATTTCATTGTTATGTTCATTTTTTCTAGAGAGCCTGAGGTAATGCAGAACACTGAAGCGCAACTCACCTCCTTTTACTATTCCACTGCTTTCAAAGTACACTTCCGCGCAGGTCTACGGAGCTCGAGAGCGACTGCTGAGGTAATTTTTGTCGACTTCAATTGCAAGGTAGACTGATGACTTTCTTCCCTGATTGGGAAGACCAATTTATACTGCATTTAGAATGTCCTGGCCGGGCGCTCTGTGATCTTGTCACCTTTTCGCCAAAACCTCCCTCACCTTCATAGTCTCGAGGCCGCAGTGAAACTTGAGCGGTAGGGCGAAGCGGCTCCCCGCAATGCCGGTGAGCGACGGGTGGAAGCTGCGTTTGGTGATGACAACCGTCGGTCGTTTTGAGTCAGTGGTCGTGGGAGGCACTCTTTCAACTTACAATCACCATTCTCTGTCACGTAAACTGATACAATCATGATAATTTCTTAGTGGGTCAACAAACTGGCACCAAGGGGGAACATGGTGAATTGTAGGATTGGCTTCTTTGATACGTATCCGCAGAAGATATTGCAAAATTATTGTCATTCAACCTCACCGCCACCACTGAGGGTAATGAGGCTCCGCTGTCAGAGCGAGCGCTTCGACACACTGTGGGTAAACTGCTGCAGATTGACGCGCTGTCGAGTACCTGGAACATGTGTGTCATAGCCGCTGACAGAACTGACAACGAGCAACAAGTAAGTTACATACTCGAGAAAGTCATCCAGGTCCTATTACAATTAACACGTACGTACATGTAGATCTACATGCAATGACCATGTTCAGATGTTGGTAAAAGAAGTATGACTTATGAAGTTATGTCGAGTGACACAAAACTCATTACGGCGGCCTGCCTGTATGCACATCACTAGCTCCGAAGCCGGACAACGAGAACATTATTATTGTTACGGGTGTCTATTCTGTGCAACCGCCACAAACAACGCGATGTTTGGCAAGACTGGCGAGTCATACTTCGTCTTATGAATGAAGTAAAACAGAACCATTCGAAGTGTGGCATGCGGCATGGCATGTCCCGGGCCGCGGGATCACGGCTGTTTCGCGGCCACCACTTAACAATATGGCGGCCTTCGCCCAGGTTTACGGTGAAATTCAAAAATATTCTGAAAACTGAAAAAGATTTCAAGATCCTGTGGGATTCACGCGAAAACTGTGCTTTGTCAAGGTAACAAACACCGCGATCGGGACAAGGATTCAAACTTTCGAAGTCGCACAACAAAAATTGTTCAGCTTCGACAACAACAAACAAGGAAAGAAAAGGAAGGAGAAGGTAGACAGCAGGTTTTTGCTGGACGACATCTCTTCCTGTTGTCACTACAGAGCTCAACTAGGAGTCAGCAGTACCGTTGTTATTTTTCTTACCTGGATCAGGGCTGAAATGGCCAAGCTGCTGCGTCCAGGGCCTGAGGATCACTGCTCGAGCTCGGACGCCTTGCGTTTTCTTGATGCCGTGGCGGGACGAACAGCGTCATGTTGTGGCAATGTCCCGACGAGATGTTGCTGGCACATTGCTGTGAGGCGCTGCAGAGTCCCAGGAATAGCGTTATAATCGAAGCTCAGCCTGTTGAATCTGGCATGAATTGACTCGCTGCCCTGCTCGGCGAGTCGACCCTGACCGACTCCAAATTTCCTGGTGAACGGGACTGTGCGCTCCTCCAAGAGATGTAGTTTCGGAGTTATGTTGCCGAGCTGCCGGGTGATAATGGATTCTCTGCATTTCTGAAGAAACAGCTGGATGCAGTCAGCCAGCTTTGAGATGTCGGCCTCTGACATGCTGTTGCAATGGCTGAAACGGTGGCTGCAGTCGGCATATCCCGAAAACAATCCATGGTACCGCTGCTGCAAGATTTCTGCATCAGCAACGAGCTGCTGGCAACGAGTGGAAACCGCCTCAACTGGAGCAGACATCAGTGCTCTTAGTACGGCAGGCTGCAGTGTGCGATGTACATGGTTGCCCACGAAGGCACCGCCATGGTAGGCTTGCCGATCAACATTGTGTGCTTGGAGCACAGACTCGAGACTTGACGCGCATGGTCCTGTGACTTTCTTGTTCTTTCTCATCTCGTCTAAGTCATGTACGAGTTTGCTGTGCTCAGCACTTGCAGCAGTGAAGGCGTCGCTGGCGTCTTTCCACAGTTGCTGTATTGCTGCAGCTACAGTGTCCATGTTGACGTTGGGAAAGCTGGTCGGTGCGTGTTGCTGCAAGAGCACTGCATATTGGAGCTGCTGCTGTAGTTCATCGCTCTTCGCCTGGGCATCTTCCATAGCTTGCCTGGCGGACCGAACTTTGTCGCTGAGAACTGTTAGCTCTTGAAACTGGAGCTGATCATCTGCACACGGCTAGAGAGTTGCTGCTGCCAGTTTCACATCCAGTTGTTTGACTTCAGCTAGGTAGATGTCATACAGCCATGCGAAAATGCCGAGATCCAGATGAAAAGACGGAATAACAACGTTGCTGACGGGAATTGGCAAGATAACTGGGCGGATGGCATTGTTGTGGTGCTTGGCTTGCGAAAGATTTGCTCCAGAGGCGGTCACCGCCAAGTTTTAGCCGAATCTCGGACTCCGGAATGACATTTCCGTGCCAGGTCAGCCACCCATATGTGTCGTACAAGTCCAGATCATCAGATCATCACGATGTCAATGAGATTTGGCATGTACACCATGCATGCCATCACTATGCTGCCGTCTTTCTTATTCATTGGCACTTCCCTTGCTGTGTATTGTGGAACCTGCTGCGCAATGAACGAACCTAGTCTTGTCCAGTTTCTTCTGTGCGCTGTATGTCGGTGTTGCGTGCGTGAAAACATTTGCTTCATCTACATCCATTTCACTAGTACTTTGTGCTGTCTGGGGTCCAGGAGAGTGTGATAGGGGTATTGCTGTTGTGGATGAATGTTGTGGGACTGTTGTGTGATCCATTTCTTTTCTTTTTTGTGTACAGCAGAAAGCTTTGAAGCAAGTTGCTTCTGCTTTTTTAGTGGACGTCCACCCTTGTTTGGTGCAGTGTGGCATATGTCGCAGTATGTGCGGTGATGTGGCTTCCACACTTTGATCGCTCCACATCCATCCCCTACAAATGAGTCAAGGCAACCTTCTCTCAGACAACGATCCAGCACACGTTTGCATACATGACAAATGTGTGTAGGGTGGATCGCAGGGTCATCCTGAGAAATGTTGACCTCGTACACATCTTGAATGATCTGGCATAGTCCTTCACGTTGTATTTCGTGGACACAGCCATGTTGGCAAACTTTTTGCCACCAATACTGCAGCAGGTAGACAGCAATGCACTGTGTTTATCCATTTTACACACTACTACTAGCACGCGATACGGTAGAATCGATGGCCACGGAAATCGATCTAGTAGCACGGAAAGACAAACAAATTCAAAAAATCGGTAAATGAAGTCACCCAGGCACCAGGAAAACTGGCAAATAAGACGAGAAAACTTTTACAAGAGAAGAAGGTAGCTGTGAAAAGGGCTGATAGAAGTGACGAAGGGCAAGTCGTCAAGGCAAAGGAAACGCACCTCTGAAGGAATCGTTCCTGGAAGAAGACGGCCTAGACGGATATCAGAATGAGATGAAAGAGGATCGCGAGAGGAAGTCATGAAGCGTGTTTGTACTATGAAACCCGGTCGATTGGAAGGGGAAAGTGGAGGTTTCCTCAAGAGAAAAAGAGTATTTTCAAGCAAATCAATGACAGATCGATGATGAGATTTTTGAATTTTCAAATTTTTGGACGCCATATTTTTTGGCCGAGTACATGACCATCGTGACAGCCGTGGGATCTAAGATGTGTGTGGGTGGTTGGGGGATGATCATACCAGGGAATCGTGAAAGGTCACGACTCCCTGGTGATAACAGATAAAGGTGATACGTAAACTGCGACAAGCCGTATGATACCCAGGCTTTTCTGCGCTAGAAATGGTGCGAAAAGATGTGTGCGACAACATGGGCATTTTTTTAATGGGGACTGGGTACCATTAATACTCCTTATGTACTGGTAAATAGCACAATGAATGGAATGCTCGAAAATGTAATGAAAACCAATAATACACAATGCAACCTGGATTTGTCATGGTGAACCTCGATATACTTGTATAGAACATAAGAACTGCGCAATAAACGCAAGTAGGCAATTTGGATGATGAGAACTAACAATTCCGGAGTCACACAGTAAAATACCTCTGCAACAAAACAAACAAAGAAAAGACGCGAAAAATGACAGCCCGACATCATCATAAAGATTGTCAGAACCTTCCTTCTACCATTGCCAGTGGAGGCAAGGCGTTGTCGGGCCGATGAAATGCCGATCTCGCTCCCAGTCTGATGCACATACCGGTACATGTAACTGCCGCGGCTTGAAGCAGTGCAAAGGACTGGCGACACCTACCATAATGCCATCACTTGACTATACCATCATGCTGCGCCAACATTCCACAATCCACATACAATGTACATGTAGCTGCTTAAGGAACCGCACACACTCTGGGGACTAGGCATAGGTGAGTAATGCTAGTTATTTGCTGCAATAATGCTAAAGGCAATGCTCATAATATGAGAATAATTATAATGCCACTTATAATGCTCACACTACTCCACAATGCCAGTTTGAAAGTTGGAAAAGTCGATTTAAGAAGGCCGTCTTGGATCAAGGCCAAAGCGCAGAAGAAGAAAAAACTTAAACAGCAGTGAGCATGTTGTCTGAAACAATCCCCTGAGAAGGTTGATTTGCAACGTCAAGTCTCCGGATGAAGCCGGACGGGTTCAGATGCACAATTTTCGGAACTGGTCCTAGCCAGCTTCATGCATGACACCGTTGTCGACCGGCAATTATGCTTGTAATGCCAATTTTGCATGCGAAATGGTGTTATAATGCCAGCATTATGCCACCTGGAAAAAGCGACTATAATGCCAGCCATAATGCTAGCATTACCCGCCTATGCCTACTGGGGACACACTAGCTGCCGGCCGTAGTGAAAACAAGTGGAGTGAAGTCTCCACGATCGACATGTACAATCCGCTCGTTGTACTGCAGTTTCTTCTGCCTCTCATGCTGGAGTAAGAAATCAGCGATGGGCTTGTTGTCTGAAACAATCCACTGAGAAGGTTGATTTGCAACGTCAAGTCTCCGGATGAAGCCGGACGGGTTCAGATGCACAATTTTCGGAACTGGACCTAGCCAGCTTCATGCATGACACCGTTGTCGACCGGCAATTATGCTTGTAATGCCAATTTTGCATGCGAAATGGTGTTATAATGCCAGCATTATGCCACCTGGAAAAAGCGACTATAATGCCAGCCATAATGCTAGCATTACCCGCCTATGCCTACTGGGGACACACTAGTTGCCGGCCGTAGTGAAAACAAGTGGAGTGAAGTCTCCACGATCGACATGTACAATCCGCTCGTTGTACTGCAGTTTCTTCTGCCTCTCATGCTGGAGTACGAAATCAGCGATGGGCTTCTTGGCATAAGAAGCTGCATCCGGGTGAAAGACTCAA